CAGTGCAGCCTCAGGGCAGCAGCAGGGCAGCCTCAGGGCAGCAGCAGGGCAGCCCCAGGGCAGCAGCAGGGCAGCCCCAGTGAAGCAGCAGGGCAGCCCCAGTGCAGCCTCAGTATAGCAGCAGGGCAGCCCCAGTGCAGCCTCAGTGCAGGAGCAAGGCAGCCCCAGTGCAGCCTCAGTGCAGGAGCAGGGCAGCAGCAGTGCAGCCTCAGTGCAGGAGCAGGGCAGCAGCAGTGCAGCAGGAGTACAGCAGCAGGGCAGCCCCAGTGCAGCAGGAGTACAGCAGCAGGGAAGCAGCAGTGCAGCCTCAGTGCAGCAGCAGGGTAGCCCTAGTGCAGCCTCAGTGCAGGAGCAGGGCAGCAGCAGTGCAATGAGGCTTCCCGCAGAGTGCAAAGGAATTAATGTCTACAGAGAAGATTAGCTATGAAGAGCTAGACAAGGTGCTGATTACAGTTGCTACAGTAATTAATGCAAGTGCAGTCCAAGCAAGATCTGCAGTGCTAATGATGTGAGGAAAGTTTCATACACTACAAGTGAATGTAATCTTCCACTTATATAAAAACTGACAATGAAAATCAATTTTGCAAGTGATTTGTTACCTAAGTAATTAAAGTATTATAGATTTAAGGCGATGCCTATGAAGTCGCTCATGTGCAGTGACAGGAAGGGAAGGAGGTGCAGATAAAGACCCTCACTGGATCCTGGAAACCTGAGCGTGTGTGCAGGAAGCTAGGAGAATGCCAGCTGCTATCCATCTTAGGACCCTAAATTACACCCGACCATGACCGAGGCTCTCAGTGCCTAGAACCTAGAGAGGAATAACAAGGCCAACCTCCAACACCAAGGTTAACAAGGTTATTATCAGCCAGCCTAACAGTTTTTTATTTTGTTAAAATAACACATGGGAACAAACTTTCTGTGTGGTGTGTATGTGCATGTACACACACGTGTACATGCATATACTGCATATTCATCTATGCAGGTTCACATAGTGTATGGAGACACATGCATAGGATCCTGGGTATGACATGGAGACCAAAAGGCAAGCACAGATTGACGCTGCTCGGGTGCCACCCCTTGTTTTTGAAACAAGCTCATTCATAGACAGGCCTGAACCTCATAATGCTGATTGGCCGAGGCTGGCTGACACTGGTCCCGAGGCACCCGTCTATGCCCATCCGCCTTCCCTGAGCTTGGTTTACAAGCAAGTGCTTCCATGCCAACTTTTTCCCTGTGGGTGCTGGGGATCACCTTAGGCACCCAGGCTTGTACAGAAGCATTTTGCTGACTGAATTGTCCCTCTATCCTCAGGGAGGCACGGTATATAAAAAGTATGTACGGCTATGTTTGCTAAGTGAACATGTTTTGTTAATGGAGTCAGAGCTTGCTGTATTTTACAAACAAGTCCTTTGAGAATTAAAAAATGAAGTTTATATGGAGGAGGAGCTAAGGTGGGAGGAGTTAGGAGAGGAAGAGGAGGAGTAAGGAAGAGAAGAGGAAAAGGAAGAGGAGGAGCTGGGAGTGAGAGAGAACAGAGATGTAGGAGGATGGAAAGCCATGCAGGTATGGAGAGTGGTGCGGGTAACTACTTTTATTTAGGTTAGCTAATTGGGAAACAACTCTCTTTGTATGGGCATATTGTTATTGAGCATTACCAAACATATAAAGCCTTTTATTAATCCTTAAGCATTAGAGTCTCATCTTTCTACTGAGCCCGCGTGGATGGCGGGATGCCCTGGGCAATGCCCAGCCTTGCAGAGACAGCATGGGAGATTGAGCCATCTCCCATGTTGACATCTCGTGGGTGGCAGGACTCGTGTTTCTAGTTGGCCATTTCTAGCTGCAGTACGCACGTGGCCTCCGGCCGAGAAACATAGCGGCTGGGCTAGGCAGAGCCACTGCAGCTTAGATAGTCAGGTTAACCAGAGGCTGACTTAAATAATTACCACAACATTTATATACAATACAAATTTGTTATGAGACTGATACTTTACAATCTTTATCGTATGATTTAAAGCAATACGTTGTACAAATCAACATGGATCTCAGAAACTGCCATATCTGAGCATACCATATAGACAGCATAAATAATCACTACAGACATTTGAACTGAAACCGGCATACAGTACAGATTTCACCATGCCTTTCATTAAGATTACTAATGAAACATAGAGTCCTATCTTCCCACATAAGCAGACAGTGTGTTTTACAAGGGAGTCAGCATGTAAGCTCAGACTGATAGTAGGTAAGTCAATATTCAAGCAAGGGAGAAAGGTAGGGCTATCTAACAGGCAGTGGGATTTGTTTACTCTGGTCTGTTTAAGTTACCATACAAAATAAGAAACTCATTATGATTATGGGACTTTTGATACATATTTGTTCTTATTTGTTCTTCTCCTCCCCAACCCCCTTACTCCCCATAAAGCTAGTTTGTCTGTCTGTCTACCCCCCACCCACAATTAGTTTTCATGGTCCCATATCTGGTTACATAACTTGTACTATCCATCAACAAATGTGTAAACACACACACACACACTACTTATGAAAGGAGATGACCAAGTGGGTAAATACACCTGACACCAAATCTGACATCCTGAGTCCAATTCCTAGGACCCATATAATGGAAGGAGAGAGCCAACTCCCCAAATTAGCTACATATCATTGGATGCCAAAGAATGTGGATCCTAGTGGATGCCAGGAGAGTGAGTATCCCACTGGGCTCCAGAGACTGAGGATTCCATTAGATACTAGAAAGCAAGGATCCTTTTGGGCTCCAGAGAACACAGGTTTTAATGGACAACAGACTGAAGGTCCTCCTGGGCACCAGAGAACAAGATTACCTCTGGATACCAATGAGCAAGGATACTAAGTAATCTAGCACATAAATGCCAGCCTGAGCGGACACAGATGAATGTGGAAAATAGCTCTGGAGAGGCAATCAGAGGTTATAGAGTTCTGTTTGGGACATTTAGATAAAAGCACAGTAGCTGAAAAGTCTATAGGAAAACCTTCAAATCCTTTCCACTGCAGCTGAGAACACTAAGCATCAGAGAAATGTGTTCAAAGGCAATCGACAAATGTATCAATGCTGTGCCATGGTGGGGTAAGTGGTGGAGGGTTAGGAGTGTTGTGCATTATTTCTCTCTACAGAAACAGAAGGTAAAGAATGAGTCTTCACACATTAAGATGAAGACAGAGCCTCACTCTCAGACTTCCGTTAACTAAGCAAACAGCCGCTCACTCAAGCTCTGCAGGGTTCAGTGTCCACCCCTGCTAAGTGCACCTATCAGATTATGACTCTGTCTCCAACCCTCTCATGACATTGCTAGCACTTGAGCTCAACACTTTTCATCCTCCAAACAGCCAGTGAGAATTCCCATCAACTTCATCTCTACGATTGTTCCTCACACCTACACTCAGCACAGCCTCCCCAGGGAACCTACTCCTCAGTGAGAAGCCATTCCACATCGCCATGGCCAGGGAGAGAAAGACCTGTCTCCTAGAGAAACCTTATCTCTACACACCTCCAGGGAAGCCATATTGAATACCACTTGTTTTTAAAATCCATTCTATTTTTTAGAGAAGGTTTAGGTTTACAGATAAACTGAGCACCTGCACCTGAGTGCCTCAGTGTTGGGTTTCGTAATGACAGAGCTGACACGAACAGGTCCTTAGGGTCTACAGGTGCCCCAAGTATCTTCTGGGTTATCTCACTCACCTCTTCCCTACGTATCTAACTACAGATAGCCACAGATTCCACTGTTGCTTCTACAGCTGCCCTCTTCCAGAATGCCATGTATTTAATGTCACATAGCATGTGGCTTTTAAGAATTAAAATTATTTTAATAACATTAAAGATTGCCTTATTTTACTTCACACACCCTCTATGTCTTTTCAGAACTTCATTGCTCATTTTTTGTGTTTATAAAAAAATTTTTAAATAAAAATTTTAAGAAACTACAAGCAAATTCCATGATTCAATTGAGATCAGAAATAAACAAACAAACAAACAAACAAATCCTCGTCAACGTGTGAGTCCAAGGACAAACTTCATGATTTTTATCATGCAATGATATCCTCTATTAAAAAAAAAAGTGCCAACTGAAGGGTACACAAAATTGTGAGTTCAGAAGTGCATCTTACATTCCACAGTTACCTTTTATTGTTTCCTCCACAACTTCTACCACACGATCTATCTGCTGAACCTGGAAAAGGGGAGAGATAAGAAGTCAGAACATGTCTGGTGAAGCCAAAGTACATTTTCAAAGAACACTGATGTAGGTTTTACTTGATTTACTTATTACATAATAAGTATTATTTAATTTAAAATTAAATTATATTAAGTAATATATATACATACACATAAAATAGATTAGATAAAGGTATAAGTAGTGATATAGGTTTTATTTGAATTACCATATTATATATACATACATAAAACTATAGATAAATAGATGATATAGAAATAGACAGAATCATTTATGTATGTTTTATTTCATTTACCTAATTAAATATATACATTAGATAGATAGATAGACAAATAATAGATAGGAAGTAGATAGATAAACAAAAATAATCTATGGGACTATCCTGAGAAATAGTGAATAAAGGCTGTCTCACACAATATGACTGTCGCCATAAGCTGTGCATCCTCTTGCATCACTGTTACTAGAGCTGGGACCATTACCCCAGAAGGAGAGACTAAGAAAGCTCAAACTTCTAAGATTCATGAGATTCCTAACCCAAGGTTAAATGCTGGGGAGATGGGGTTGCTTTAAGCTGTAGTTTAGTGAGGTATCCCCACACTGGTATGGGATTTTCAGTGAGGCGATTCCCTGCTTTGTCAAGTACCCCTATAGTAAAGTTATAAGCTCACTAGTGTACCAAGGCTAAAATTCGGTTGAATTATATATTTGATCTATTGTCATAGTCTTAGCTGGTTGAATAGACATTTGCACTTATCTCCCAGGAAAAAGCCAGGTAATAGCTTTCCACATAAATGCAACACAAGATGAATCACAAATTTTCAAGTTACAGGACATAAAATGGCAGATTAACAGAATGTGCTAATATTAAAGAGATACATGGGACATCTTGTGCTTCATTATTTCAATTTTTAAAATCCTTTCAGTGAGTTAATACCTAGTGGTGAATACCATATTCAGACTCAGGTTATCCATGGTCAATAGAAAAGGTCATTTTCCACATACAAGTGACCAGGGAAGAATTCCAAGAGTAGAGCAAGAACACAGAGAAAGGAAATCAAAGGGAGTGAGGGGCCAAAAGAGTCTTCTGAACTTAGGCAGGAAAACCAAGGGACACAGAGATAGTTAGAATGTAATAAAGGCAGTTCAACAAATAAAATCGTCTTCTCAGAAGTTAGAGAAGTTATTTGAAATAGCTCAAGGCTGATCATCTAAAAATTCTCCAAGTATCATTGTTCTCTCTCTTTCTCTCACTCTCCCCCCCCCCCCCCCCCCACACACACACACACACACAAAGACAAAAGGAAAAGAAAGAAAACAAAGCGCTCAGGAAATTGAAGCACAGTAAACTGTGACTAAATCCATCCACAATACCACCCACCTCAGGAAAGGATCTCACTATGTGGCTCTGTCTGATCTGAACTTGTAGAGAAGACTAACCTCAAACTCAAACAGACCTGCCTGCCTCTGCCTCCAGAGTGCTGGATTTGAAAGCACACCCTGACATGCCCGCCTTGCCGTCTTTTTTTGCTGCACAAATAAAATAACTCATGAATACTAGATCCTAAGATTCATTCTGGAGTGTATGCATGTGTTCTCATGAGTAATAGGATAAGTAATTTTAAAAAAAAGAAAAACAAAAAGTTGACAGCATAAAGCCAAAATATAAACTTCTTTTAAAGCCCAGGAACTATTAAGGAACAGGGCAGCATTAAGGAGGAGGCTTACGGGGTTCTTACGATCGAAGTATGCTGTATACATGTAGGAGAATGTCACAGTAAGACTCATCCCTTTGGAGAGAAAAAGGAGGGAGGCAAGAGAGCAGAAGGGGGCTGGGAGAGGGAGGGGAGGGAGGCTGAAAAGAGAAAGACAGAAAAAAGACTAGCATGGAAAGTCTCCTCCACTGAATCAAGGGGTGAGGAGGAAACAGCAAGCAGAGCAGGTACTCAGCAGAGGATATGGGAGACACAAGCTGGAGAGATTTGTGGCACAAATGAGAAGCAAAGAGAAGAAAATGGTGGAGTATGCAACGGGGCTCAGATGAACCCTGAAACACATGAATAAGCAGAACCAATATTTAGAGAAAGGGAGGGAGGAAGAATGGCGAAAAGGAGACATACAGGTTTTAATTAGTGTGGGCTCAGCTGTTCAGTACCTGTGAAGAAAAGTGCGGCCAGTGTCTGCTTATAGAAACAGGTGCTGAAACAGCGCGCAGGTGATTCCCACTGGAGTTGGCACAGAAGAAGTGCAAGTTTGGGTAAGTGCAAATCACAACACACACAGTGACTCGGATTGCCTGTGATTCGGACCGCGGTAGGAGACAGAGGTCTTGGCTAAATTGTGTACAGTATAAAGATGAATTACCAAGGTATCAATTGAGACCAACAGATAGCAGAAAAAAAAATGAGAAAAATATGAAATAACTCAGTGACGGGGCCAGAACAATACTGTCTTCCTATGTGCTTGTAAATAGAAAGGTTCAGAGGGAGTCCAACACTCGCTCTTATAGCACACAAACAGAATAAAGAAATGGGGAATGGTGTAGCGTGGTAGACATTTGTAACAATGTGTCCATATAGCTAAACTATGAACTCTAGTAAGGAAAACAGAAGCATGGGTCCATGAGACTCTTGGGTTAAATGGTGGTTTTAAGAAGGACCCATCTCTCTTTGGGACACTGAGGCAAGTATTAAGCACTGTTAGAGTATTGTTAACTACATTTAAATTAAAGTTAATAATTTTAGGCATTGATTAAAGTACTTGCCCAATGTTTGTTTTTCATTTAAGCTAAGATAATTGAGGCCCAGACACTAATTGGCAAGTTAGATCCTTCCCTGGTGCCCCGGCTGCATTGAGTCAAGCAGCTGGCTGGATTTCCCACTATGCACAACACCTACACAGCAACCACATCTGCTCCACCAAAGCAACTCCAGCTCTAGAGGGCATGTCCCCAGACATGACTGGTTCAACTGGCTTGCACCAAGCTTCCTACCATCAAAAGGCTCAAAGCTAGCAACCATTTTCACCTAATATTTCCCCTGCATGTCCAAATAAAGGTCTGTGATTGGTTACAAACACAAACCTTAATTTCTGTGACTGACTGTGCCATGACTGTAGAAACACTCTTGCCCTTTCACTTCAGGAAATATAAGCAGCCTACCTTCATGTTGGTCAGGAGATTCCTATCTGTGCTGCTCCCAGATAAAAATTAGCCTTCATGAAAGGCTTCGCCCACTACGTGCCTTGCCTACATTCACGTTTATCATCAGTAGATTGAGTGGGAACTTAGAAGCCAGCAGAAGCAGCAGCAAAGCAGCAGCGGTGGTGATTGTGCCACCCTGGTGGCAGCAGGAACAACAGAAATGGGAAGAGACCTGAAGCACTAAAGAAAGTCACTCTGGCAGAAACCAGAATAAATAGAGGGCCAGAGAGAGAATGAAAACTTCCAAAGGAGAGATGAGGGTCTCAGCATATGGGGCCTGTTTGAAAGCTGTGACACAAGCAGTGAGTGACATCTGCTGCTGCTGCTGCTACTGGTGGTGGTGGTGGTAGTAGTAGTGGAGGTGGTGGTAGAGGTGGAGGAAGTGGTGGTGGCGGTGGTGGCAGTGATGGTGGGGTGGTGGTGGAGGTGGTGGAGGTGGTGGTGGTGGTGGTGGAGGAGGTGGTGGAGGTGGTGGTGGCAGTGGTGGCAGTGGAGGTGGTGGAGGTGTTGGTGGTGGTGGCAGTGGTGGTGGGGTGGTGGTGGAGGTGGTAGAGGTGGAGGTAGAGGTGGTGGTGGTGGTGGTGGTGGTGGTGGCGGCAGCGGTGGTGGTGCTTGCAATACAGTCTGACATTTCCTCAGTTAAACACAGTTATTATAAACTCAGCAGTTCTAAATCTATACAACAGAAATGAAACCTATACACACAAAAAACCTGTGCACACTGTTTATAGCAACATTTATAATGGCCAAAGACTGAAATATCCACCAACTGGTAATGAAACATACGCCATAAAAGAGACAGGAGCAATGAGACGTGCTACATATCTACCCACAGTAAGTCAGAGTGGCCCTCGTATTGTACAACCCCATTAGAAGAAATGTCCACAAGAAGTCAGAGGGCAGCAAGCTAGTGACTGTCCATGGATGGGCCGACAGGGAAAGAGACAGGTGCACTGGGGAGCCTGTGTTTCTGGCAGGAGTAAAGAGTGTCCTGACACTGTGGTGACAGTCATCGACTCTAAATAAACTAAAACTGCAGTACTACACACTGCAGATGGATGCACTGTGTGAAGTATGAGTTGTATCTCAAGAAAGCCATTACATCTAAAAACAACAACAACAAAAGACGAAATTAGCTGAATTACTGTGAAGGACTAAAGAAAAGCACAACTGAGGAAAGCATGCAGCCTGAGGGAGGGACCATGCAACAGTGGACAGCTGGGGGCTTTGCATCCATAAAGGACAAAAGGCCAAGAAGAAGTGTGCATAAAAACAAAAGAAGAAACCATTATTTTTACTTAATTACAAGGAAGCAGAAAAGAAGTTCATTATGTAATTTGTGAAGCTATTGTGTCCATTTGTAGTGATAAGGACAGTAGAGAAAATAAGGAGAAAAGGCAGGAAGGAGGAGGGACCACAGTCACAGGCAGAAGAGGAAGAAGGCCAAATTGAGTGCAGGTGGGAGGAGGGGACAGAGCAAAAACAAACCCAAACTCCCCTTGAGGAGGGCATAATAGACTGAATTTCCACTGAAGAGAAAGGAAAGCTATTCTCAGTTAGCACCATAAACTGCAGCCCTGGATACACAAAAACTTATTCAACAGCATATAATTCAAATAAAATACGTAAAACAGTATCTTATGCCCTTCAGGCAATTGATTATAAATATACAGGGGAAAACAAAACAAAGCATGCAGCATGTTCCCTTACTGGCTCCATATGTTCTGAATCAGGAAGCAAGGACTTGGTGACCAAACAATTCATAAATAACAGTACTGAGTCATTCTAGTGAGGGACTTTCAAAGGGCTCATACGAATATTTTACCCTGCTCTCAGAAAAGACTTCAAGGTCACAGGTGAACATGGAGAGGGGAAATGAGCCAATATCCTGGCACCTAAAGCAAGTGAAAGGTGCTGTTCCCACATCTCCAAACTGTTGAGAGTAGAACTTTCCCCAGGGGCAGAGCTACTTATAGCTGTGCCAGCCACTGTGTCCACTACCAACCACCTGTGGTCACTACATACTCAGCTGAAACACCAAATGCTTAAGCCATGTGGAACAGGAAGGTTGAAGGGACTGTAAGTCAGCAGTTCACTTTTCAAGCCAGCTCTTAGAAGCCAATGAACACAGCTCATTGAACAAAGACAGCTTCCCAGTTACCCTAGAAAGCAAGGCCACATGCCTGTGTCCCCAAGAGTCCAGGCAGAAAGAATCACTTGACTGCCAGAGGTCTGACATGCATCTAGGGTATTTTTCCTAAACAGCCTGCAAGACAACCCAATGGGTAGTAGAATCATAAAGCCAACATCTAAGAGATTCTTCGCTTTCTGGTTGCATGCTAGTATTGAACATGAGTTACCACTTTTAATCCTAAACATTCTGAGGATCAAACTCAGGACACCAAGCTTGGCAGCAAGCATGCTTCTCCACCGAGCCGCCTCACCTAACCCTATACAAAATAAAGCTTTACGTTCAGAATCATTGGTGAGCTTCCTGAGCAGATCTTCAGTAGGATGGTGGGAAAGAAAAACTGTCACCATGTAGTACAGAAATACTGACCGAATGAAACTACACTCTCAGGGAAGCTTAAACATTTTCCACTGTGGCTCCAATTTCCCTAAAAAAATTTTATATGGATCTTAGGATAAAGATATCTATTATAAAATAGGTATATAAATCAAACATTTGCTGATAACAAATCATAAATAATTTATTTTAAAATATTTCATCAGTATATAATTTCACCATTTATTTAAAATGAAAGCAAATTTGCATACCAATGAGAGAGAAGGACTTGCTTGTCTCTAACAGCACAATCCAAAGATGTATACTGATTTGATACATTAAAGAATGACTGTAGGAAAATCATAGATATCTTTGTTTTCTGAAATTCAACCATTACGTTTCTGGGGAAGAAGAAAGCTTAATGTGTACAGGAAATGTGCAGCAGTTTACAACATGTGTAGTCTGAAAACATGGTGGCTCACAGCACGCATGCGTAGTCTGGAATCTGAGCTGAGGCATTTCAGGCAGAGGTGTTCATTGGGGCTGTGAGACCTGACTGCATGGTCAGTACAAAGTGCAGAGATGAGTTTAGAAATAAAGCTACAGTGAAGTCACATGATACAGCACAGGTAAGCACTGTCAGAAACACAGAAGATTCGCTACATGGTGACATGAATTTATTTTTGGTTGCTAGGCATTCAAAAATATTTCTCACTTGCCAAATGTTTCATGGCCATCCCCATTCCATTCATTTTCCTGACCATGGGGGTCACAACCCACAGTTCAAGAAGATTTGCACTAGGTCATTTTGGGAACTAAGGCAAGCAGACAGTCTCTGCACTTCTCAGATCTGACTCCCCAACAGTTATGTATAAGAACAAAACTACAAAAGGAAAAATCTTTGGTGAAAATGATCAGTGAACATTTACTGGATACACTTATATATGCATAAGTGGAGAAGGCTGGAGAAACACACAGTGGTTAAAGTGATAAAAAGCTTGTCCTGGTGTAAAAAATTAAATTGGAGTTATGGGTTTTATGGAAAAATAAAATCATTTAAGTGTACAACCATATTTCCAAGCCTAAAACCCTAACTCTGTGTTAAGTTAGACACAGTGAAAGATACAGGGAGCAAAGCCACCCATAGATGAGATCCTGGAGAACCATGTGGCAATAAAGAGCTATGTATCATGGGTTCCCCAGATGCTGAGACCTGGAGGTGAGGAAAACACAAATAGAGCATTTTAAACATACATTTATGTACTGGGGAGGAAGGGCAGGTAGCTCAGTAAGGTGAGGAATTTGGTATGATCTGGAGAGCAACAACAGTGGATGAAGACTAGGACATTACAAGGCATACACTCCATAGTGTAGCTTTTTACAGTGCTAGTGTCTTAGTGAGAAAATCTGTGTGTGTGTGTGTGTGTGTGTGTGTGAGAGAGAGAGAGAGAGAGAGAGAGAGAGAGAGAGAGAGAGAGAGAGAGAGAGAAAGAGAGATCACACATAGTGGAAAAGGTTTCAGAGGAGATGCAGATGTTAGAAGTCACAAGGAAGCCAGCAACAGGAGGAAGTACAATGAGTTAACACCATGGCATTCTTCTGTTTATCCATTGGGTCCACTCTTACCCCAATGATGCTCAGTCCTTTGAGGTAGTCCTGACGAGGCTGGGCTTGGGGAACGCAGCCAGCGAGGACAACTTTCTTATTCTCCTCTTGAGCTTTTCTGTAACAGGGAAGAAAATCATTGTGAATTCTATTGCTCACTGACACAGCCTTAGAAATTGATGTTAGTGCACCTAAGTTCTCCACTTACGAAGGCCATCTAACATGAACCAGGATTTTCTGGCAATCGGCTAAAGAAAACATTCATGATTAAACTTCTGTACCATATGCCTGTTTCTCAGACCACTAATGCATTTGTCTGTTAGGGCCTTTCATTACCACCACATTGCCAAACAAAACAATCACACAAAGTTTGCAACATTGATAAGAAACATGTGCTGATAAACAAGCTAAGCCTTCAAACAAGTCAAGCATTTAAAATGTTAGTAAGAATGCACATAAAACATCATATAATCTTTCTTAAACTTACACAATATAAAATTAAAGTATAGTTTAAAACAATTCCAACAGGAGAGAAAAACAGAAGGTAAAAATATCTCATGCCATTGAAATTCCCAATCTCCCTGCAGACTCCTTCTCCCTAGACAACCTATGGTTATTGGTTTCATATGTTGGCTGTCAGCCTTCACATAGCAAGCATGACTAGATGATATATGTATCCACAGATACGCATATGTACATATTTCTACACATACTCGTCTATGAGAAAGACTGGTTAATGAAGCCAGGTCTCATCGATGGGTTACTCCATTAGTGACTATTAGACAGGCTCTGTGGAAGGTCTAGGGAACAGGAGCAAGTCCACCCTTAAAGAGTGGACCTTGTCCCTGGACCTTCCCTCACTGCTTTCAGCTTCTTCCTCGTCCTCCCTTTCTGGCTGCTAAGGTGTGCACACTTTTTTGTTGGTTTTGTGGGGTCTTTTTGTTTTGTTTTTGTTTGTTTGGGGTTTTTTTTTTTTGGTTTTGTTGTTTGGGCTCTACCATAATGTTCTGCACTGCCATCCACAGACCACTGACAAAATCAACTCGCAACGTAAGTCAAAATAAAGATTTTTTCCTTATAAATTTCCTCTGATATTTTTCCACAGCAATAAAAGCTGACAAACACATAAGCTCTAAGCAGAAGCTGGTTCAAATGCATATCTGGCATTTGAAGCATTACAAGGCATTTCGTTCCTGAGGAATGAAGGGGCATGTCTGTGTTGAGCATCACCAAAGTCATTCACTGCTTTCAGCAACACTGATCTAATGCTAGTAACAACAGACGTGTGTGTCTATTTAAACCTCCTAGGGTCAACAATATCCTCTGCTCATTTTAAAATTAGATATGTATGCCTTTGACTTTTTTTCAAGAGCATCAATTTGGAAGTGCATTACCAGTTTCCCTGCTGCATTCATGGGTGTCAGAATGTGTGCACCAGGCTGGGACCATGCTACTCTAGCACCTGAGAAAGCTGAGGTGCTCATAGCTGAGGCTCTGGACTTGACTTTGGAATATATGTCAAGAAATGATTTATTTCCATACCCCACACATATTTGTTGTCATTTTTTTTGACAACTTTTCTAGGGCACAGGTTCAGAATTAGAAGCCAACTGTAATAACAAGAAAAATCCTGGGTCCAGTAGAGCTAGGCCCTTGCAATTAGAAGTCACATCAAAACTTCTGGGAAATATCAGAAAGGTTAAATGAATAAATGAGTGCAAATAAATTTGCTAATTTTTGTTTATGTTTGAAATTTTAAATTATAACATTTCTTCTTTCTCTTTCCTCTGTCTAACCCCTCTCATATACCCCACACAACTCTCCTTGAAATTCATAGCCGTTTTTCATTAAATGTTTCTGCATGCATATATGTATTTGAATATACATCAATATTCCTAAATATAGCCTGTTATATCCATGTAACATTACTTGGATGTGTGTTTTCAAGCCTGACCATTTGGCATTGGACAATCAATTGGTATGCTCTGCCCTGGGACGGACCACCTGTCAGACTCCCAGCTTTAATCAGATGCTTACACTTCTCTGTGTTAGAGCTTCTCCCTGTCCAGTTTGACACGTTCATTAGCATCATCCGTGTTCAGCTCATGGTTATAAGAAAAACATTTACAAGTATAGATTCTCGTGTTAGTAGGAGACACAATCTCACAGCCAACTCCCTGATCCAGGGACTCTTACATTCTTTCCAGCTCCTCTTCTACAATGGTCCCTGAGCCATAGCTGTAGGAGCCTTTTGTACATATATCCATTAGGACTGGGCTCCACAACTCACTCTGCACCCTGATAGGTTATGCAACCTACTAATTACTACTTAAAGAGCCTTCCTAAATGTTCTGTTCCAATAAGAGTCCTTTGATAAATTTTTCCTACTTAGGATCCTAAAAGAAATTTTCCTACTTGCTAAAATAAATTTGTTAAAAAACCAAGCTTGTACTTGAGTGACTCACAGAACATTCAAGGGAACTCATCACCTACCTCTGTCACATGATTACATTTTATTGATGAGCACTTCAAACAAATATGTTTTTATAGTCCATGTGAAACTCAACATGACAGTTAACATTGTGCTTTCTGAGAACCTTCACTATTCCATGTAGATTCACAGCCACGTATCCAAAAGATCATCAATAACTGTGCTCAAAGAAAATGTCTGGGGCCACAGAGATGGCTCAGCAGTTAGGAACACTTGACACTCTTGCTGAGGACCCTAGTTCAGTTCCCAGCACCCACATGGAAACTCAGAATTATCTTGTTCCAGGAGATCCAATACCTTCTTCTGACATCCTTGGGTACCAGGTATGCACATGGTACACACACATTCACAAAGGCAAAACACTCGTACACATAAAATAATAAAATAAATCAAAAGAATTGTTTTAAGAAAATGCCTATTTCCCATGAAATGAAATGATTTCAAGGAAACATAGAAATGAGGAAGACCCATGCCTGCAATTCAACAGACAATGTTAATAAAAGATGATATGACAAAACTATAAGCAACTTGGCAGCAACAATGCAACTCTCAGTGTCAGAGAAAAGAGTAGGAGTCTTGAAGAGAAGATCAATGTGCAAACAAGAAAAGCCTTCACGAAGAAATTTTTAGCAGCAAATGTAAGAAGAAAAGGGCAGGAAAAAAGAGCACAGAAGGCTGCAGGCAGTCGCTATAGGAGAGACAAAGAGAAGAGAGAAGACCAGGAAGACAGAAAAGTGTTAGCCACAGCGCCAAGCAGAACAGGCTGTGAGCCAAGCACTAAGAACACCAGAAGATTAGGAGCAAAGGTTCAGAAAAGGCCTGACTTAGTAACTTACTAAGAACTATTCCAAGCTGAGTTGAATTTGGCTTCAAAATGGCAGGGCAGATGAGATGTAAAATCTAAACCAAACCTCAGCCCAGCCATGGGATACCAATGCCGGACTTTATATGTGACCAAAACAATGCTCCAAAGCTTTAAATACAGTCTCCAAATGTGCCAGTTCAAAACATTCCTTTCTGACAATCTGTTCCTTTTATTTATCAAGCTTTGTTCATGTTAATAGAGGACAAAATTATTTTTCTTTTGATACATACCTAACACATCTTTTTTAAAACTTTTATTGTTCAAAGTATGAATGCTGCTAAGAATAATAACTTAAGAAAAGTTTAAAATAGTATGAATTACCATGTCTTCCTTTCAGGTGGCACTGGCATGTTAATTAAAAATTTAATGAATATAAAGTTAATTTAATATTTTGGTTCATATATTCTTGAAACATATCTCCAAATGAGACTAGTGGCATGCACCTGCATAGACCATTAACTTGAGTGACACAGAAAATAAAAATAAAGCAGCGACCTCCTCTTCTGAATACCAAACACAGGAAACAGTTCGTAAAGAAGCGTAAGATTTCCAGCAGCATGAGGATACCTAATGATGACAAAGGACCATTCCTTTATTTCAAAAATAAGTAAACTGAGCTTCAAAAAGATAAAATGATCTCAGTTGAGTATGGCAGAGCTAGGGTGAGCCCAAGATCGCCTGGATCCTTGAGTCCCACATTCCAGAACACAATAACATACTGAGAAGGCTTTCCTTCTCTAGAACACATGGTCATGTACCGAGCTGTAAAACCAAGCACCTTCCAGGAAGAATCTCAACTCAGTACCTGTTCTATTCACCCAAGTCCAGTGAGCAACATAATGGTCTAATGGAAAATTAGGCTGATTGGTGTATGCAGAAAAGCATAGTTCTTTTTCTGCTAGTATCAGGTCAGGGGAGACTGTGGATTCTCTATCTATACTTCTTATTCCTCATTCACGTTCTAAAATTGGTATTAATACAAAAACATTCATAGCAATGTACACTTTCACCTAAAATTTCTTTCATTTAAAAAAAAGTCCTGCCATGTGTCTATGTCAGTCTACCAGTAGTCTATCCCTGTGCCCCCAACCCTACCCTTCACCACCTCTGGCCCTTGGGAAATCTTACAGTGTCCTGAGAAAGGGAGAACTAGCCCTGCACCTTGGCTAGGCAGCACAGCAGAGTAGATCATGGTGGTGGGGCCTTCAGGTGACCAGGTCCCCAGGGAAGACCTTCATGAGGTGGCCTGGGTGATGCTTCCCCCACCACTCATCTGGAGAACTGGACCCAAGGGTATGAAAATGAGAGAACCAGGCCTGTCCTCTCACTGGTTATAGCATTGGGCAAGCTAGTACCTGGCCTGGACAACACAGTGGAGCTGGTCCTGATGGCTAAGGCAAGGGTGAGCCAGCCTGGAGAGTGTGAGAGCAGGAGAGCTGGCCCAGACCCTTGCAGGCTGCAGCACTTGAGAAAGTGAGCTCTGCACCTTGACTATGCAGCACATGGAGCTTACTCTGGAGGTGTGCCTGTGAGCAGGCCCTGAGGCCACGAGAGCAGGAAAGCTGACCCTGTCTCCTGCCAATGGTTGCACTACATGGCCTAGTGGAGTAGGGTGGTACAGATTAGGGACAGTCGGTGCACTAACCAGCTCAGCTATTACCCAAGCCTACATCCAGGGCTCTGAATTCGCCCATCTCAAAATCTGTATCATCTGCAAACAGTGCAGATTTGTGAAAGGGCCAGTCCTGCTGATCTAAGACTG